CTCAGTCGAGCCACCGCGTGTTATCCACCACCATTGGCCACGGCTTTTGCCACAGCTATTGGCCCGCTTCTGTCTCCAGGATGTTTGGACATTTCGTGGACAAACCGATTTGAAATTTTACCGGTGAAGTCATGTTCGGACTTCCCATTTTCTCAAGAAGATGGAGGCGGCCTGCCATCTACCCCCGATTGGAGCTGTGCCGACCGTACTCACTTGGATGTTTTTGCAGCTCTCCGTACAACTTGGATGCAATTGATTGTATCGCAACGTTTGGACAAGGTTTTGCTGTCGCATATTGGCTCCAACAATCCGGATCCACCTTTTTCTGACGAAGAACTTCTGCCCTTCAAGACGGCTTTGGAAGAGTTTCTCCGGCAGCATGGCCTGCAAGCAGATTGGAGCATACGGGAACATCAACCAATGTTTCTGGCAATTTTACAATCACTGCATCATATCATGCGGGACCCGGATGTGACTTTGTTCCCTTCTTTATTAGAAGGTGTGCGTACTGGCGTATCTGGCAATATTCCGGCATCATCCGTGTTTCCTCGCAACACAGCTGAACCAGCAATTGAGTTGCCATTGTCGGTGCACCTGACCAATTGGCAAAGTGCAGAAGAAGATCCGGCGCTTACAGAATCCTTGGTTGCTGAAGAATTGGAGAAAGGCTGGGTATTTAAATATTCAGGCACCTTGGAGCAGGCTCAACAAGAATTTCCTAATGGAGTTTCAGTGGGCAAACTGGGAATTGCCAAATCCGATTCTCGCCCTCCTCGTCTGGTGGTGGATTCCAGCATTTGTGGTTTAAACAGCCGCTGCAAGATTCCTGAACGCAGCACGTTACCTACTGCCAAAGAAGTTTTGCGGTCGTATCCATTGCGACAGTCTTCGCGGCCCTTAGCTGGCTTCTTCTTAGACATCAAATCAGCCCACAAACGTGTTGTCTTACACCCGGAAGAGCGTGGTTTGGTGGGTTTCAGTTTGAATCAGGACATTTACTTCTACTATGTTACCCCCTTTGGGGCCACTTTTTCCGCTGCCTGGTGGAGTCGAGTTGGTGGTTGGATTCTGCGCTGTTTACACCATCTGATATGGTGGAGCCACTGTGGATTTTTGTACGTCGATGATTTTTTGTTCTTCATGGACGCACAAGCCATGCCCTTAGCTGCAGCTCTTTGCTGCATTTTCTGTCAGATCACTCGCATTCCGGTCAGCTGGCGCAAATCGGAACTTGGGTCAGTGGTCACTTGGATCGGTTGGCAATTCAACTTTCGAGCAGGTGTTATCACCTTACCTCGGCCCAAATTGGAAAAAATCAAATCGTATTTGGCCGAACTGCGACGTTCTCGCAAAACGACACGCAAACTGCTGGAAAAGACAATTGGCCTGCTGATGTGGATTACACAAATTTTTCCATTAATGCGTATATGGATTCATTACCTGTATCAGGACTTGTACCTCATTCCTGCAACACATTACAGCATGGATCCAGGGGACTGGCCGAAACTTGCCGAGCATCTTTCGGACTCTTTGGAGTTTGTTTCCAGACCACTTCATTCTGCGGTGCCACTTGGCAGTACTTTGATTGCTGTGCGACACACTACATTGCAATCAAAAGACGACTTGCAGAAAGTTCGCATTTCTCCTGACAAAAGGTTGTGGCTTCGCATTAAAGACCCAGCTTCTTCACGTCGAACTGTCCGCGAAGATTCATACCGAATACTGAAATTGTTTGATGATTGGTTAGCTCACTTGGTGCCATGTCGTTCTATGGCACCGAAGCCATACTGGAACGGCTCTGCAGCTGCAGATGCTTGTGCGGCAGGCGACTATTGTCAACTCGGTGGCTTCATTCAGCACGAGTCAGGACATTGTTTGTGGTTTTCTGAAAAGTTCACTCACCAAGACTTTTCACGCCTTCCTTTTCAGTTGGAGGCTGATATGCAGAAGAGCGTAGCATCTTTTGAAACCTTGGCACAGATTGGTTTGGTGATTTTAGTTGCAGCTTTTCATCCTGGTGCAAGACTTCCTGTCTGTTTGAAATCCTTGAGTGACAATACTGGCGCGGAAGCTGTCAGCAATAAATGCTTCACAACTACCAAACCTTTGTGCTTTTTCGTTGAAGTCCTGACGAAATTTGCCAGCCAAACTTGCATTGAACTTGATGTTGGCCATATCCCCGGCCAAGCCAACATCATTGCAGATGACCTGAGCAGGTGGAACTTGGAATCTGATATTCCTCATGGTTTTTCACAAAAAGACCGTATCCGATTTACTGTGGCCGATCTCTGGCGTCCTGAGTCACATTGTTCCTTAGTTCCGTCGGATGCATCGCTTCTTTGGTCACTCCCTTAAAGTATATTTGCCGGAAATCCCCCATCGCGTCTTTAGGGGGGTTTGGGGCGATGTAGGATTTCACTCTGATAGTTTTTGTTGGGGGCCTTGGACCATCATAGTGAATCCTAGAAGGGTTCCAGAAACGAATCCAACATTCCGGCAAACGAAAAAGAGAGAGTGACTTTAGCAGAGCGTTTGCGCCAGCAGTTCATAGCATGTCAAATGTAAGTCCTAGTAGAACGTTTACTGTACTCGTTCAGTGGTGTTTTACTGGGATCTTCACTTTGCACCAAAACATTTTGGATCAAGGACTTACATTTGAGGCATCCATTTCATTTTTACCCTCCCCCCACACCAGTATCTAATTGCTGGTTCTGATATCGCTTTGGTTCGCTTAGTCATGCTGGATGCCTCCCGCACATGGCAGGTTCTGCTTCAGCCCTTCTATTTTTCAGAGCAGTGCCATATACAGCCTGGACTAACATTGTCCTTTCAGGCCGATTCCACGCTTCATAACAACTATTGCTTTACCTTCGAATATGTTTTGCGGTTTGGACACTTATTTGCTTCGCTTTCCATGCGTGGAACAGTCTCTTCTTTGTCAAAGACAAGGGGGGCCTTGGACCATCATAGTGAATCCTAGAAGGGTTCCAGAAACGAATCCAACATTCCGGCAAACGAAAAAGAGAGAGTGACTTTAGCAGAGCGTTTGCACCAGCAGTTCATAGCATGTCAAATGTAAGTCCTAGTAGAACTTCTGGTTTCACCTTTGAGGTTTTTCACTTGGGCCCGCGTGTGGCAAACCGCAATCAGTTCAGTGCGCATTTCCCAAGTGTTTGGCTTTGTGCCAGCCCAGGGTGGACCCGAGGATGAGAGCCTTGCAGCAAGGTGATCAAGAGCTGACGAATGGAGCTTGAGCAAGCTGAATGCCAGAACGTGCCTGCAGCAGGCACGTTGAGAAGGCGGCAAGTGGGCCTCAGCGGCCGCAGCTGATTTAGGATGCTTTTGGAAAGTTGGGATCTCCTTCCTTTTTCTGTCCTCTCAGCTCGCCGTCTTGTTGCTTTTACCTCTTTGGGCTTTTTCGATGTAACACCCAAAAGCCGCTGTCCACGGTGCGTCCGTGGTTGTGTAGTACCTGGGAGGAACCCATCTCTTTTCTTAAAATAGTTATTTTTTCCTTCCCTTCTTCGCTTCTTTCTATTGGGTGTCCCTAGGTGGAATATCCAGGCACCCCACTCTGTATTTCATTTGTGCGCGGCGCAATTACAAACAGACTGGGCGTTTGCAACAGGTTCTTCAATCGATTTTGTTGCTCACCACTTGTCCTCTTTGATTTGGTTTCCTTTTCATTGGCTCCCACATACCGGCTCCCTGTTTTCTTTCATGTCCGTTCTTTCTTCACGTCACCCTCACCTTTTTTTTTTTGCGCGCACTTTCGTACGGGCCCTCGTTTGTGCACACGCGCGCGTACTTTCTTGAACAAACAAGGCTTAGGTGCCCCAGGTTTGCTACAATGAGGTTTGGTTCATCGGTTGCCCCTTTTCACATGGTTCCTTTCTCATTGGCAACTTCTTGTCTGTCTTGTCTTTTTCATCGTTCATTCGTCTCTTTTGCGTTCACCTTTGGACCATGGAATATTCTTTGGGTCTTGCGCCACCCTCCAGCCCGGCCTTGGTTGTTTTAGGCACCAGAGCTGCCAAAGCCTGTGGAAGGGATATTTTGCGGCACCCTGGAATTCGCCGCGTCGCAGACTGGGCTGAGGGTTTCTGAAGCACAGATCGGGTCGACCATCCCAGGCAGTCAAATCCCAGTAGATGAAGCCTCTGATCGAGGTCGCGCTTTAACACCTTAGTAAGACATTTCACGAGAGCGGTTTTCAAGCCAAAATCCACGTATCCGCACGGATGTCGCACCTACCGTCAGTGCGCAGCCAGTTCTACTAAGAAGCCTTTCGCAATCTGGGTAATGTAGACTAGCTCTTGGTTTACAAGCCCCCCTTGTGGATTGAAGAACCTTTTTTGGGCGGTTTATTTATCAAGAGTGTACATCAAGATACTGAAGAATCCTAGCAGATGCCCAGCTGTCAGGGCAAGTGAGATTGGTCGGATATGACGCTAGCAAGGCTTCAGGGGTTGGACTACAAGTTTCGGGTGGGGGAGGAAGTCTTCATCATAACCTTGCAAGAACAAAATGGAAAAAGATGAGTGACAGTGACATCGAATGTTCAAGTTTGGACTCTATGCTATACTGTAAATCATTCGATCTGTCTGAGTAGTCGCCTTCTTTCACCTGACACATTGTTTCCGGACCAATACAGGAAAGAAACACCGTTTTGGTGAAATGATGAACGCGCATTAAACAGGTCAAAAGGGTCTCTGGATCAACTGCAATTTGTGGGTGTTTGATCTAGTCATGTCCTTGCTGTTGAATCGACAATCCATGTCTAGCGTCGGCATAAAGTGCGTCGACTAATTCCTATTCTCAACCTCAATTGTTGCACTCGCGTGTCCTATGTAAGTTGTGAGAGCCCCAATGCTATAGAGTTTATTTGTCATTTGCGAGGGTTACCATGGAACCAGCATGTTCTTGAAACCTTTTGGCTCAAACTGGAAAGGGAGACGAAGTCCGACGTTCTTGTTCCACCACCAATAGCAGACGTGATCATGCCGATTCGTGTGGGTTTTCTGATCGGGAAGGCGCCCCAATTGTGTTGGCGGATGTTCCTGTCGTAGCGTCCTGTCCGGTGCTTTTCAGGGCCAAGATTTGGGTTTGGCCCCCCGGTTTTGAAGCGCTTTTTCTGGCAAACAACGGACCTTTTTCTGGCAAAACACATCCAGATCTCGCTGTAGATGAAGTCGTTGAGGGTTTTTTTTTGGGGGGGTTTTGGGAGACAGCTCAGCTCTTTATTTGCCGACGTACAGCGGAGTTCTGGATGTCAAGGACACGGACCTGGTGGAGGATCCGAAGTATGTGGGCGATGCGTCCTTTTTGATTGATATGCCCGACAAGCCCCTTCCAAGCACGAAGACTGCCTTCTTCTGAAAAGCTGTGAGTGGCACATTGGGTGTCTCCACGATTTCTCGTGCAAGTCTGACAGACCTGCTTATTTCTCAACAAAGAAACATATCGTTCCTTTTTGTTTATCGATGAAGACGCAGTGAAACTTCGATCTCGCCAAGGTACCGTGTAGATCCGGAGAGCAAGGACGTCACTGGTGTCGTTGAACTGCCACTGGTGCTCCTCAAAGATGGATGGATTTACCAGAAATTCACCGTGATTCACCAGGGGTTCGTAGGAAAGAGCGCTGCAAGCTGTTGACACCGAGTGCATGACTACGGATGAGAATCCAAGACCGGCCAAACCAGAAGTGTATTTGTCATGCTTTTTCTGCAGATGATTTCTCGTGGGGCAACAGTGTGTTCATGTGGTTCCTGTGATGCAGGAGTATTTGAAGGATTGTGACGAAGGCACCAAAGGCTTTGCGCACGCCGATGCTTCTTGGAGTGGAGGTGTTTTTCGCGGAGCTCGACTGGAAGATTCGGTCGCAGGATGCCTGTTTTCGACCTCCCTCCACTGAGATGGAACGAGGTCACCGAGGTCGGGTTTTCCGGAACAAGGTCTCCAAAACCGTGGGACGTCGAAGACGATTCATTTGGAACCAGAGAGGTGGGGCTGTTGGGCACGTGGTTTCCTTTCGGGACTCTCTAGCAACCCTTCGACCGTCAAGTGCGGCCAAGCTTCAGGTTGCCATTCCATGGTACATGCACAAGCACCACAAAGACATTGAGGCCTTTTCAGAAACGAGCCAGTCACGGAAACGTCACGAATCTGCTCCATGCAGCGGCTGCGGGGAAAGAGTGCTTGAAATACACAGTTATTACTCACGAGCTTCCTTGGTGAGTTGGGTGGGAAACTCTGGCGACTCTGATGGCTCCACGGAAAGCTTTTCATGCAAGTGAAACCAGTCTCTACATACAGTATCGCATCTCAACATGCTTTCTCCCCATATTTCTTTGGTCTGTACTGTGCATCAGATGACACCCAAATAAGAAAATAAAACATAAAGAAACACCAAAAAAGCCATCAGCCGATCAACTCGATCACTTTTTCAGATGCTGAGCCCATGTGCCACGGCGCTTGTCCCTCGCCCCGTCGCTGTTCCGACGATCTCCGCGCCGTGGCGAACGTCCTCCGCGCCGGACTTCGGACGCGTTTGGGCGCCGTGGGCGGCGGCAGTAGGATGTTCTCGGAGTGTCACAATGCGAAGGCGGGAGAGTTGAACGAGAATCCGTTGAAAGACGGAGTGAAGAAGAATCTCAGCTTTTTCAAGAAAAGTTTCAGAGAAGATCGCAGAAGCATGGATTTCAGCAGGGCTTTCGTCTCAGCTCACTTCCGCCAGGAGCACCGGTGCTGCGGTGCCGGAGAGCGACGGAACGCTGGGCGTGGCGGAGCGCTACAGCTCCGAAGATTGGTTCGAGCACCTTCAGAACTTCCCGCTGTCCATCATCCTGAAGCGTGTGACATGGAGATGATGAAGGAGAAAAGCGTCTATAGCGAGGGATAACAACGAATGGATGCTGAATGTTCAAATCTAGGTGGCAGTATTTTTCAGTCAATCCGGACAAACCCGCTTTTTCTCCGGAAGTTGGGGGGCATGTTTTTTTGGGGAGAAGATTAAAGAGATGGAAGTGTCGGGTTTGTCACCCTTCTTGAATACTAACGATGGCGACCCTTGAGTCAGGTGAAGTCGCACCTGGCCTTCAATGCAGTCTTCGCCCTCAGCGTTCAGATCGTGAACTACTTCACGGGCCTGGTGCGTCCCCCGCCGCTGGCACTCTTGAGCGCTTGCTCCACAGCGCTGGGCTTGCTCTTGGTCTTCCGGACCACGGCGGACGCTGGGACCCCCTTTGGCTGGGATGTGCTGGTCCGCCCTTTTTGGGGACTTTCACGACCAGTCTTTCACGACCAGTCTTGCCCAGCATCCCCACATGTTTACTCGAAAAGTGGCACTTGTTTCTATCCTGTTGGTAGTCACTGGCCGGTTTTCGAGCTCTAGTTGACCTCGAAAAAGAACCAATATCTTTCCACCACAGACTCTACCTGGTTTCTCACGTTCTGAATGCCAAGAATGCTTCTTTCACCTGAGGCCTATGAGCGCTGGTGCGCTGGGTACCGCTGCGTGCGGGAGACAAAGCAGCACCTGCAGCAGCTGAGACGCTTGGCGCGACTCTGGATGAGCGAGGAAGACTTGGAGTGGATGGATGGACAGCTGGCCACGTTCCCCGCATACCTGGGCACCTTCCTGGGAGGCCAAGCGCAGCCCAACACGGCGGAGCGGCCGGCCTCCGGTCGTGCGTTCCAACAGTTTTCGGATGCCTTAAAAAGTGATGCGTCCATTCAAGAGAAACCAAGAATTGGTGAAGCGTTCGTTGGTGGGATTTTGCTTGGCAGTTTTTTTTGGGACATCAGAGGATGGAGTCCTTCGTCGAAGCCACAGACCAAATTGAATCCTCTCAAGACATGTATCGGACGTCGTTTCTGTTCATTTAGAGGACCTTTTTCCTTGCAATGTAAACCCATCAATCAATTTGGCCTGACCATGCTACTCAACAAGTGCACGAAATCCGTGTCAGTAAAATCCCCACTCTAGCAAAACACTGTCTAGAACCACTGAAACCATCCTGCTACGTTCACGCAGGTGGCGTGGGCGCGAGGGGCAAAAGCTGGGCGCTGCTGGGGGAGATGGAGCGCGACCCCCGGGAGATCTTGGTGACCTTCGGCGAGGGCATCTACAAATGCCTCGCCAAGGACCCCTCCTCGGCGGCGCTCTACACCGAGGTGCACCGGGGGAACCGCCGGCGCTGGAATGTTGGTGAGTGGGGGTTACGTAAAGGAACTGATTGCAATGGCAAGTTCGGAAGTGTTCTTGCTTGCTTTAAAGTTTGCGACAAGAACAGCAAAGAATACTCTGATGATAGTGTGAGGGCTCCTATTTAGGGCTGCTGTGAGAATTGAACAAGATGTATGACATGGCCATTCTCACGAGCATGAAACGTATTGCAAGATTTTGGAGCTTGGCATTGTCAGGTCTACACTCTACAGTACCTTGTAAACCAGACAGCTTAAACTTCTTACAACCTCAAAACGGGGCGCCGTAAAAGGGGACACCTGCTGGGTCCGCCGTTCTGGGGCTCCTGCGAGTGCGACGGGTCACGACCTGCGAAGGCCCACCGCACCGGTCCACCGCACCGGGTCCCGTTCGGTCAGGATCGAATGCAAGGGCACATCACGGGTGCCCTGGCGAGCATCGAGGAGATGGCGCAGATCGTCACGGTGCCGGTTTCTGGGCGCCGGTTTCTGGCGCGGAGCGTCTCAGAGCGGGGCTGGGTGGTGATCCCTGAAACATGCCTCTGGGTAGCTTTGAGTACCGGAGATATTGGTTCCATTTGCTAGTATAAATACACCGAATGAAGAAAATCCCTGGATCACCCAAGCTATATTCCCAGAGCACCGTAGATACAGAATATCCTTCCTTTTCCTTTTCCGGGAAGCAATTGTCCTCAAGCAAATACCCAGATCTTGTCCAACAGCTGGTCAGTCTTTGTGGAAAATTCTGCTCCAAAAAAGTCCTTTGGTCTGCTCGTGTCACGTTGCCAGCAGCTCCGCGATGAGCGCCATCCAATGAACCCACCCATGGCTCACCACCTTGTCTGGTGACCATGTTCTTTTGATCCCTGAAGCAACCTGGACCGGGATTTGTTGATGTTGAACCTGAAAGCTTTGGCCTTGCACTGTTTGATTTTGTGCGTTTGTCTCGAGATTCAGCGTCTGAGTCCTCGTCTTCCGGTCGGCCAAGCGACGGGCCCCGACTCGCGTGAAGTGGGTCTCCGAGGTCTCCCAAGAGTACTCCAGGCATACGTCTCGCTTCTTGTGGCTTGGCCTTTGCAGCTGGTGGAAACCTGCTGAGCTGGGGAAAAAACTCTGCCAAGCCTTGTGGCATTGCCAGACTCCCGGTCAGACATCGCCCATTTTTAGCGTACCTTTTGAGGTCAGACGTACTCTTTCACACAGTCTTACCAGTTTTTCACACCAGTCTTGCTGTTTGGGGAGACTTACTAAGAGAAACAGTCAACACCAGTCAAACACCGTCTCTCCGGACATCGGACCATCGTTTCCATCCCGGTGACGTCGGTGACCCCCCTCCTTTCAGGTTGGTGAGGGTCCGACCTGACAGTTTTCAACGGCTTTGTCGTTTAAACATAAGTAGCGTCACTGTCACTCCACTGATGCGCCAATCCCTAGCTCTTCGCCACACTAATTACTTCACTCCCTGAAGCACCGGAGCCTTCACTTCAGGACGGTTTATTTGTTGATTTTGCCCTTTGCCCTTGTGGAGCTCCAAGCCTTCATGCCGCTGGCGGTGACCATCCTGGCCTGGGCCTTGCTCTCCATCGAGGTGGGCCCGCCCCTGGGGCCCCGATCTGGGGCGGTCGTCATACCCGCTTCCGACCCCTGACAGCTGACGGCAACTGCACCTTTTCCACCAGATCAATGGGTATATAAGATGATATATACATATATATATATATATCAGGGTTTTTATCTCTAGTTTGCCATCCTCCACATCCCCCTTCTTCATCAAAAGGTCTCCATTTCATCTCATGAAAACATCTCATCCTTCCCGCAACGATCGTCGTGGTCACTGGATCACGACGAGTTCATCGCACCCGATGGTGACGTCCTTCGTGTTCTTCGGTCACTTGATGGTTCCGGGGGGCCAACCGGTCCACAGAGGCGAAGTCACCGGACGAAACAAGCCCAACGAGACATGGACTTTCGACTTGACACTGTACCTCTGGAAACGAACACAGCGAGCCCGAGGAGATTGGCCATACCTTGGAGGACCCCTTCAACAGCCCCACGCAGCGCCTTGGCCTCCGAACCGAGCTAGGCTCTTTAAACGGAACTTGAAGGGATAGAATTGACATGATGACATGACGTGCATGGTGTTCATGCCATGGTGTTGCAAAAGAAGACCAACTTCCGTCCGAAGCTTCACTCCACATCAAACCCGCTTCCGACTTCTGTTTTGGCTCGAGCATCTTTTAACGAACCTGGCTGTGTGAGCGAAAGCTGTTCCAGCTGCTCCATTTTTGGCCAAAGGTTAATTATTTTTCTCTATTTTCCAAAAGCAATGGCCTCGACGTCCAGGACGACCGTTGCCGCCGCCGCAGGCGCCGCGGCCCTCTTGAGTGGTGCTAGTTTCGTTTCGGCACCTGCCACCACCACCAGCAACCTTCGAGCTTCGGCCTCTGCACCAAGTCAGGCAGGTCACGTCGGTCGTGTCGGTCACGTCTGTCGGTAGAAGAGCGTTGCTGGTCTGGGGTCGGACCGGGTTGGTCGGTGGTGCACCACCGGCGGAAATGAAGCCTGGAATCTACGGAAAGGGAGTTCGGAAGGGTCAGACCCTTGGTGGAATTCCTGAAGCAAATCTAGACGCAAAGAGTCAAAACGAGATGAACTTGGTAACACAACTGATGTGAGTTTGTTTGGACAGCCAAGAAATACAGGCGACTAGAGCTGTGTCTCATGTTGTTGAAGTTTCACCGTTTGATTGCTTGTCTTCACCATAGTAAGTGTTGAGTTCTGAAGATCGCTTCCCTTGACCGAAGGACAACTTGGTGCTTACGCCACCACAGTTCTTCTTATTCAATTTCGGTTTGACTGACAGGAGGACCGTCCAAGTTACCCTCAAAATGTTCACCAAAGGATACCAAAGGCATTGAGC